CCTTCCCCTTCTCCTGTTCTCCCCTCTCCATCCCTAGCCTCACGCTTCCAGCTCCGCTGCTGTGTTTCAGGGACCCAGGCATGCTTACCAGGGAGGCAATGACCTCTGCCCCAGGCTTGGCCCTCTGGCCCTTCCCCATGCTACTGTCTCTTCGCCTGAGGCAACCTCATCTCTTAAGAGAGCAGGCTCATTCTATGCTAAGCCTGGACCCACCATCTCTGCCTCGTAAGCTCTATAGGCCCTCCCACACACGACCAACACACACACACACACACACACACACACACACACACACACACACACACACACACACACATAAACACACACACACACTTTGCTTTCCTCCCCAGATCTGGCTTGGCGCCCAGGAGACCGGGTCCCGCTGGGGAGCTGCTTTTACAGGGCATCCCCACTGGCTCCGCCCCTGCTCCCCAGCATCGGCTTCCTCGACCTCCAGTAGGTAGGGGTGGAGCTGGGGCAGGCTCCCCCCTCTCCCCTTTGCAGGCTGAGCTGCTGCCCCCTCTCCTGGAGCATCTGCTGCTGCCCCCGCAGCCTCCCCACCCTGCCCTGAGTTATGAACCTGCCCTGCTGCAGCCCTACTTGTTCCATCAGGTGAGCCCTAGACCTCCGCCCCACCGCAACCCCAGTCCCCCAGCCCTGATGTCTGCTCTCATCCGAATCTCTGGTTTCCCACAGTTTGGCTCCCGCGATGGCCCCCGGAGCTCAGAGAGCTCCCCAGGAATGGTCAGTGTTGGCCCCCTGCCCAAGGCTGAACCCCCAGCCCTCTTCAGCAGAGCTGCTTCCAAGGGCACGTTCGGGGCTCACCCTGGCCATTCCTATGGGGACCCTCCAGAGCCTCCGCCTGCTCAGCTTTTCCAGGAGTCAGGGCTGCTCTACCTGGCCCAGGAGCCACAAGTGCCCAGCAGGGCCAGGGCACCAAGGCTGCCAGAGCAAGGGGGCAGCAGCCAGGCAGATGACTCCTCAGAAGGCTATGAGGAGGAAGGACTAGAGGGTCACAGGGAGAAGCCTCCTTCCCCAGAAGAGCAGCCAGGTAACAGAGTCCGCAGCATCCACTCCCTGCCTGTGGGGCTGCTTTCGGGGAGGTGGGGCGGGGAGGGTCCTTCCTGACTACCCACGCATTTGTTAATTTGTCCTTAAAGTCACCTGCACACTCAGCTAATGCCTACCGACCACCTGCTCTATGCCAGGCACTAGGTAGGCAGTGGAGACAGGGTGGGGGCAGTAGAGCTGACATGACTCTTCTTCAGCTGGGGGATCAAGGAGCCCCTGCTGGGCCTGACGTTTGGTCTTGACACAGGAAGCTCTTTCCTCCAAAGTGTGGACAAGGGTGGGAAGGGGAGGGCATCAGTGTCATGGTGTTTGAAAAGTTCTTAAATATGCGGGTCCCCTCCCACACCCAAATACATCCCACAAGTTCATCTCGGCACCAGCCCTAAGCTCCATGTCTGGCTCCCAGCAGATGTGACTCTGCAGAGGCTGGCAGCTGTGCTGGCAGGCTACGGGGTGGAGCTCCGTCAGCTGACTCCTGAGCAGCTCTCCACCCTCTCCACCCTGCTGCAGCTGCTGCCCAAGGGTGCAGGACGAAATCTGGGTGAGTGTCCAGGCAGAGAGACTACCAGCCCCATGGAAGCCTCTTGCCCCACTTCTCAAGACCACAGCAAGCAACCTAGAGGGAAAGGGCCAAGGTCAGGGGAGGGAGTTCTTTTGAGACACGGAGTCATTGCCAGCCAAGGGCAGGGAGCAAGGGGTGGGGTGGTGATCTGAGGAGTTAGAGCAGGAAAGGGCTGGAGGATGGAAGCAATGGGAAAAGAAGCCAACAGGAGTTGTGAGCCAGGACCAGGAGGCACGGAGAAAGCTGGGCGGAAGATAATGAGGACCTAAGGAGGGGCACGGCCACTAAAAAGGAGAAGCCAATGATTGATGGGTAGAGGGAGGACGGAGCAAAGAATAGCTTTGACAGGTGTGGCCAATAACAGAGGGAGGAGTTGATAAAACAATGAATTATAAGGCAGATGCACAGAGGCATGAGGCCATGCTTAGGACGAGACCAGCGATAGGGTCTTGGTTACTGACTGCGGGGAAAGAGGCCACAGCAAATGTAACAGGCTCAGGGCCTCTCGCCTTTTCTCCCACCTGCGTTGTGTGGACCTTGGCCTTGGCCCTTTGCCCAGAGTCTTGTTTTTCCTGTCTCTGCAGGAGGGGTTGTAAACATTGGAGCTGACATCAAGAAAGTGAGTTTGTGACACCTCCCTGACCCATAAGTGCCCAACGGCAGCAAACCCCTTGACTGAAATCTAAATCTCAGGATCAGGACCCAGAGTGTGTGTCCTCCAAGCCCTAATTTTGGTGGAACTGAGGCGCAGAGGCTGCAAGTCATTGTTTAAGGTCTCACCTCAAGTTGAAGGCAGGGCTGGGACCAGAAGCTAGAATTCTTGATTCACTGCTTTTTTACACTACAGTCATTTCAGACCACACTCTGAGGGTCCCAAGGAGAAGCGGGGGGACACGAGCAGGCGGGCTTCTGACTGCCCTGCAGCTTGAGGCACTCTATCCGTTTCACATGTTGGATTTCTAAGATTCTGTGGCTAAACAAAAGTCGAAAAACCACGGCCTGTCTGTTCGTCTTCTCCCCTAACCCCAGCTTTCCTCACTCCGGAGCTTCTCCCGACTCCAGCCCCATCCTGTGGATTATTACTGATCATGAATAATCACTCATTCAGTCCTTTTTTCATTCATTCATTCATTCATTCATTCATCCACTTGGCTCGCTTTCCTGGATGCCCTCTCTGTACCCAGTGCTGACCTGGGCCTGGGGATAGAAAGAGAAACATGTCTTAAGCACCCCTGTGGGAGCTCAGCGTCCAGAGTGTGGACCCCCTCCCCCCGACCCCTCCACCGTTAGAGACCACACCTCTATCCTCTCTTCTAAACAGACAACGGAGGAGCAGGTGCAGGACACAGACGCAGCGGAGCCTCCACCGCCCACACCCTCCCTGCCCGGATCCCCCACTGCTGGTCCCACCTCCAATAAAGCCCAGCAGGAGCTGAGCTCTGGATACTCTGAGCCTCCCAAAGCTGCCGGCCCCCCTGCCACGCCCATCCTGCGAGAGGAGAAAAGGCCACTGGGCCAGAGCCAGCCCACGGCGGCAGGGCAGCCCTCTGCTAGGCCATCAGCAGAGGAATATGGCTACATTGTCACTGACCAGAAGTAAGAGCTCCAGCCTGGGGCAGCCTCCTGGTCCCTTGGGTGTTGGGCTGGCCTGCCTGGCAGGAAGCAGAGAGCAGAAGTCCAGATGTGAAGTAGGCACGGGGCTGGGCTGCTCTGCACCCCTGGACGTTGTTTCAAGAAAGTGGCCTAGAGGGTCCCCACTTTCCTTCCTCTGCCGGCTCCCCACCTCCAGGCCCCTGAGTCTGGCTGCAGGAGTGAAGCTTCTGGAGATCCTGGCTGAGCATGTGCACATGTCCTCGGGCAGCTTCATCAACATCAGGTGGGGCTGTATCTGGCTGGGGCAGCAGGGATCTAGCAGGTAGCTTGAAGTGGGAGGTGGCTGGAGGGGCTCAGGGTAGGAGGGGAAGACAAACTGTGAGTAAGGGGCCAAGGTCGGGTCAAAGATGTTTCCAGCTGCACTGAAGGTACAGCCACACCCAAGCCCTGCTACTGGCCCCATCCAGTATCTTCCCAGCCTCAAACACCCCTGTATGGCATCTCTGATTTGTTTTAGCCCCATCCTCTAACAGGGAGAGGGCCAGAGAGGACCTCTCATTTTGAGTCTGGCATCTGTGGTGGGTGAGGCAGTAACATACCTCCTATTCGGCAGTGTCGTGGGACCAGCCCTTACCTTCCGCATCCGGCACAATGAACAGAACCTGTCTTTGGCCGATGTGACCAAGCAAGCTGGTAAATACTCCTTGACCCCAGCCTGAGTTGTATATATCCAGGCCTGTGGCTGGTGTTCCCCTTGAAATATTCCCAGCCCACAGGGACCCTGCCTGCCACCTGGCATAGCATGACATGGGGTGGAGACCACATGGGGCTGGACAGAATCTGACCTACATCCTCTCTGCAGGGATGGTGAAGTCTGAACTGGAAGCACAGGCAGGGCTCCAGATCTTGCAGACAGGCGTGGGACAGGTATGAGATAACTGAAGGATCAATCAAATCCCCAGAGGGTTGATGTCGCCCACAAGAGATGCAGGCAAACGACAGGAGAATAGGAGCTGAGATCTATCTGGCTGGTCCCCCAGCTTTGCCAAAGCAGCCCTCCCCCGTGCAGTTTTCTTTCTGACCAGCAGATGGCCCTAGCAGCTCCTCCCTGAAGGTCCAGCCTTCTCTCCGAAGCCAGCTTACTTGGAAGAATTACCTGAGATGGCCATAGCTGTCCATAGATGTTCCAGAGCAAAGTCTCAAATTCCAAGGGAAAACATGACACAGAAAGGACACTGAACTCAAAATATGCTTCTATTCTGCATCCAACACTGATGCCTCACATTCTACTCTTTGATCCCTTGGGTCTCTCTATACTTCTCTGTATCCATTTTTAAATGCAAAAACTCCTAGGGAGGGTCACCCACTAAGTCTCTGGCAGTGCGATGTGGTTGAGTTGCCTCAATGGGGATTGAGAAGGAAGATCTTCGGCCTCTCCAAGTCCTTCTGCCTGTACCGCCATGCCCCTGCCTCCCAGCTTTGCCCCAGGAGATATCCTAGCAGGGAGTGGGCCATGGGACAGGGGTGGGGAGCAGCTCCTAAGTCTCCACTGCCCCCCTTGATTCTAGCCTTGTTCCCACAGAGGGAGGAGGCAGCCGCCATCCTTCCCCGACGGGCCCACAGCACCTCTCCCGTGCGCTCCGTGCTGCTTACTCTGGTGGCCCTGGTGGGTGTGGCCGGGTTGCTCGTGGCTCTGGCAGTGGCCCTGTGTGCACGGCAGCGTGCGCGGCAGCGGGACAAGGAGCGCCTGGCCGCGCTGGGACCCGAGGGCGCCCACGGTGACACTACCTTTGAGTACCAGGTGTGCAGCCCCAGACGCTTGTTGATGAGAGGGAATGGAAGGGGCTCGGGAGTCTGGGTCTCACCTGGGATGAGGGTGGGGAGCTGGATGTCCAGGCAGGGGCTGGAGAAGCCCCGGTGGGAGTGCTGCGGGGCCATTTTGAATGGATGGGAACTGAGAGCAGATGGTTGCTGAAGCGTTCCCCAGTGCTGTGATTCGGGGGGGCTCTAGGCTTCTGCTCTGTGACATCCGAGGTTGTCATAGGCACCAGCCAAGCAGAACAGTCCGAAAAGGATGAGAGCCATGGCAGAAGACCCTACCTCAGACCCTACCCAGAGAAAATGGGTTTCATTCAAAAGCAATCAAGGACATGCCTAGGGACTCTACTGAACTGAGCCCAGGACCCTGTTGGGAAGGATTCAGGAGACCTTGGGCCCTGCCCCATCCTTCCGCAGGACCTGTGCCGCCAGCACATGGCCACAAAGTCCCTGTTCAACCGGGCAGAGGGTCCACCGGAGCCCTCTCGGGTGAGCAGCGTGTCCTCGCAGTTTAGTGATGCGGCCCAGGCCAGCCCCAGCTCCCACAGCAGCACACCGTCCTGGTGCGAGGAGCCCGCCCAGGCCAACATGGACATCTCCACGGGACACATGATTCTGGTCAGGACAGGGCATCGGCCCAGAGGGGGTGAGGGGACCAGACGGTGGGAGGGGCAGGGCTGGCAGTGGGGGCCAGCGCCAGGCTGTGGTGTCCCTGCAGGCGTACATGGAGGACCACCTGCGGAACCGGGACCGCTTGGCCAAGGAGTGGCGGGCCCTGTGTGCCTACCAGGCGGAGCCCAACAGCTGTGCCACCGCCCAGGGGGAGGGCAACATCAAAAAGAACCGCAACCCTGACTTCCTGCCCTGTGAGTGAGTCCTGCTGACCCGCCGGCCCCAGCCCTCTGTCTGCTGGGAGCTCTGGAGGGCTTGGGGGTGGGGCCGGGCTCCTGGCTCAAGCTGAGTGGCAGAGGTGCCAGGACCCCAATGACTGGAGGGGCTTCTGGGGTGGGATGCGGGGTCTGTGCAGATGACCACGCACGCATCAAGCTGAAGGTGGAGAGCAGCCCTTCTCAGAGCGATTACATCAACGCCAGCCCCATTGTGAGTGGCCCCCACCTCCTCCCCGTTTTCATCCTGCCCCCATAGACTCCATTTCCCCACCCAAGGCCCCAGAATTGTGAGCCTGATAATGGAAATGGGGCTTCTCAGGCTCCCCCAGACCCTGGCCCGCTCCCTTTGACCGAGCCTCTCCATAGTCGCATTTCCCATTCTGGCTCATGATGTATCTTTCCTGTCCCCAGATTGAGCACGACCCTCGGATGCCAGCCTACATAGCCACACAGGGCCCACTGTCACATACCATCTCAGACTTCTGGCAGGTGGGCTTTTGGAGGGAGCGCTTTTCCAGGGAGTAGGTGCCCTTGTGGCCAGCCAGGGCCAGCCAGGTCCCAGGGAGGTTAGAATGGAGCTTACCTGGGTCTCTGTCCCTAGATGGTGTGGGAGAGTGGCTGCACCGTCATTGTCATGCTGACCCCGCTGGTGGAGGATGGTGTCAAGCAGTGTGACCGCTACTGGCCAGATGAGGGCTCCTCCCTCTACCACGTATATGAGGTCAGCAGGACCCCACGGCCAGGAGACGATGGGGGTGGAGAAAATGGATGGTGCACCACTCATGCATGTGTGAACATATGTGTATATAAACATTTATGTGCATACACATATTCACATACATGCATATACATGTGTGTGAATATGTGTATGCACATATATGTTTTGGCCCAGTCTAGGGCCAAAAAGCACTTGTAAGGACCTATGATGAAAGGTACAGATATAAAGCTATAAAACCACTGAAACTAAGGTAAGAAGCTACGAGTCAGGAGTACAGTTTTGAGACAGGGAAAATAAGTATACTCAAAGGCCAAGACTGAGACCCACTTTTATTGAGCCTAACTTAGATCTGAGTTTCCTGGAGGCCAAAGCAAAGAAAGAAATGCCACCAGTCACATATATTGCTTATTTAAAACAGAAACAAACTTCTTCATTAGGAGAAAAGATAGGTAGGGGGGAACTGGGCAGAGGCAAAGCAACGGAAGGAGCAACATTCCTGACAAATGGGAGGTGACACCCCCCCCCCAATAAAACAAGAGACATTAATTGCACACATCCAGTTTCTCATGAGCACTGGATAGCAGTTTTTTTTGTTTTTTTGTTTTTTAAAGATAAGTTTGTTTTTTTTTTTTTAATAATACACAATGTATTTATTTATTTATTTATTTATGGCTGTGTTGGGTCTTCATTTCTGTGCATGGGCTTTCTCTAGTTGTGGCAAGTGGGGGTCACTCTTCTTCGCGGTGCGCAGGCCTCTCACTATCGCGGCCTCTGTTGTTGCGGAGCACAGGCTCCAGACGCGCAGGCTCAGTAATTGTGGCTCACGGGCCCAGTTGCTCCATGGCATGTGGGATCTTCCCAGACCAGGGCTCGAACCCGTGTCGTCTGCATTGGCAGGCAGATTCTCAACCACTGCGCCACCAGGGAAGCCCTGGATAGCAGTTTTGCATCATCAGATGAGCACGCAACAGTCTTTTTAAGTTTTAAAAATTGGTCTTGCTTGTGGTTAAAGAAAAAAATCAAATGAAAATATAGAATTTTATCAAAGTTTACGGTGTGTGTAGCACAGACACTTTGCTAGTCTCTGTGCAGAAGAGGAAGGAGAAGCTTTGAATTCAAGAAGCTCAAAATATTAGGAATTCCCTCGCAGTCCAGTGGTGCTTTCACTGCCCTGGGCCTGGGTTTGATCCCTGGGGGATCTAAGATCCCTCAAGCCACGGGGCGCAGCCAAAACAAACAAACAGACAAATGAAAACTCAACAATAGTTGTGTCTAGATGAAAAAGCCACCAGTTGTCCTGAGCAGTCCATAAGTGACACAAACAGCTAGTGTTCTTGGGGACAGCTGGAACAGTTGGGGCAGGCGGTTGGGTGAGCTTCCTGGAGGATTTAGAATCTGACTGGCCTGGGAGGCCGGGAGGATTTGGAGATGCCTTGCCATGCTCAGGCCTGCACCCGCTCCTCCGCAGGTGAACCTCGTGTCGGAGCACATCTGGTGCGAGGACTTCCTGGTGCGGAGCTTCTACCTGAAGAACGTGCAGACCCAGGAGACGCGCACGCTCACGCAGTTCCACTTCCTCAGCTGGCCGGCAGAGGGCACCCCGGCCTCTACCCGGCCCCTGCTGGACTTCCGCAGGTGAGCGCCCCAGCGCCTGGGCGGTGGGGCGGCCCAGGGGAGGCTCCGAGGAGCCGGGGAGAGCGCAGCATAGGAGCAGGGGGCCGGGAGCTAGGCTCCCTTACCTTCCCCTAGTCCATCAGGTCCTCATAGCAGTTTTGCATCATCAGATGAGCACGCAACAGTCTTTTTAAGTTTTAAAAATTGGTCTTGCTTGTGGTTAAAGAAAAAAATCAAATGAAAATATAGAATTTTATCAAAGTTTACGGTGTGTGTAGCACAGACACTTTGCTAGTCTCTGTGCAGAAGAGGAAGGAGAAGCTTTGAATTCAAGAAGCTCAAAATATTAGGAATTCCCTCGCAGTCCAGTGGTGCTTTCACTGCCCTGGGCCTGGGTTTGATCCCTGGGGGATCTAAGATCCCTCAAGCCACGGGGCGCAGCCAAAACAAACAAACAGACAAATGAAAACTCAACAATAGTTGTGTCTAGATGAAAAAGCCACCAGTTGTCCTGAGCAGTCCATAAGTGACACAAACAGCTAGTGTTCTTGGGGACAGCTGGAACAGTTGGGGCAGGCGGTTGGGTGAGCTTCCTGGAGGATTTAGAATCTGACTGGCCTGGGAGGCCGGGAGGATTTGGAGATGCCTTGCCATGCTCAGGCCTGCACCCGCTCCTCCGCAGGTGAACCTCGTGTCGGAGCACATCTGGTGCGAGGACTTCCTGGTGCGGAGCTTCTACCTGAAGAACGTGCAGACCCAGGAGACGCGCACGCTCACGCAGTTCCACTTCCTCAGCTGGCCGGCAGAGGGCACCCCGGCCTCTACCCGGCCCCTGCTGGACTTCCGCAGGTGAGCGCCCCAGCGCCTGGGCGGTGGGGCGGCCCAGGGGAGGCTCCGAGGAGCCGGGGAGAGCGCAGCATAGGAGCAGGGGGCCGGGAGCTAGGCTCCCTTACCTTCCCCTAGTCCATCAGGTCCTCCTAGGGCCCCAGGTCAGGTGAGGCAGATCCTCTAGCCTGACCTGGAGCCTCGGACCTCAGGTCCACTGGTGTCCCCTGCTAGACACCCCAAACCAGGACTGACTCTGACCTCCTGGACCCCCTTCCAGACACCACCCCCCAAACCAGAACTGACGCTCTGTCTCGCTGTGCCCGTTCCTCCACTGCTGTAGTCCAGCCCCTGTCTGCTCTCTCTCTGCTGGCCAGTTGTCTCCTCCCTCTCTCTTGCACTCTTTTTCTCCCTGCCTCTCCATGTCCGGTGCTTTCTCCATAACCCCATTCCCCCCAAGAAGGGCTCGCTTTGTTTCTAGCTCTCTCCCTCTCCTCGGTCCCTGCTGCCTGTTTCCTCCTGTCCTGTGCTTCTAGGTGGCCAGCACTAGTCTCTGTGTCTGCTGTCCCCTCGCTGTCTCTCACTCCCTCCTGCCATCCCCCTTCTTTATCCTTCTGTCTCTTTGCCTCTATTTTTCTTTCCCTTTGTCTTTCCCTCTTTTTCCCTCCCTTCCTTCCCTCTTTTCTCTCCCCCCTCCCTCCCCCGCCCACCTCTTTCTCCATCACTGTGTCTCGAAGCCTGTCTCACTCTTCCCCTCCATCCACGTTTCCCCCCCCTCTCTGCACCTCTCCCTGTTCCTTCTCCCTGCTCTGTTTCCTCCACCTCCCTCCCATGTCTGCCTATTTACTCTGCCTCTCTTTGTCTCTGTCTCCCCCCACCATTTCTCATTCTCTACATGGCTCTATCTCTCCCTGGCTCTGTCTCCCCTCACTGTCCCCTCCCTCCTTCCTCTCTCTCTCTCTCACGGCTGCCAGTGTCATTTTTGTGATCTGCAGCTAGTATTCTCACTCCAGTTGCATAGTCACAAAAGTGATCATTGGCAGGTGTGGCCGCTGCATGGACAGGACATGAGGACGTGTGGGCCCAGGGACCACCCTGAAGGCTGCTGGGAGAGCCGGGGGCCGGGGGGACTCGGGCAAGGGGCAAATACTATCAAAGGGAATGCGGGAGGATCTCTGGATTCTTGGGGACTCAGTGGAACCAGGTGGGGGCTGGGACAGGAGGCTAACGGGGACCTGCCCTGTTCTGATGCTGAAACCGTGACCAGGCCAGGCCTCCAGCATCCCGTGCCTGTCCCCTCCCTAGACAGGTGGCTGAGAAGTCTGCTGCCATGGCAGGGGCCTCACCCACACTGTGGCGGCTTCCTGCTTCTCTGCCCCTTGCCAGGCTGGCCTGAGGTCTCTAGGCGCTAGGCAGAGAGCAGAGGGGCAGAGCCGGCGGGGGCGGGGGCAGTTGAGGGAGGAACCTGGGGATAGTTTCTGAGCCTCAGGACAATGGTTTCTAACTGGGGTCCCCGGGGCCTGAGGCACAGGCTTCTCAAAAGCAACGCTAGGGGCATCAGAGCTATTTTTTTGTTTGTTTTCCACATTTTAAAAATCTTTATAGAACTAGTGCCTGGACCTGTTTTAAGGCTGCACAGGTTATAGCTGAAAGGTTATACTTCTTTGCTTTAGGCTGGGATTATGTAAACTCAGTTGGCATTAGACACCCAGAACAAATTAATTGCTGCTTAATAAATATAGTTTGGTGAAGGTCCACCAGAGGCAAGGCAAAATAATTCTTTAAGTCCTAGAAAGTGACTCTGAGCAAGTTCCTTGACCTCTGTCTATTTTCTTACCTGTGAAATGAGAATGATGACCCATACTTTAGGGGTTGTTACAAAAGTCAGTAGCATAAAGTCTGTAAAATCTGCTTTAAGTGCTTGGCACGTAGCAAGGGCTCTATTTATTCTGAATACTGTTTCTTATCATTATTATTAAATGATTGGGAACCACTGTGGCAACTTCTGTTCAACCCCAGCCCTGATATACCAGCCAATATGCTGGAAAACCATGTGGACTCCTGGAAAACCTTTCAAAGTCACCTGGCCCTTGCAAGCCTTGAGGAACCAGATGGAGGACCACTAAGTTCCAAGCTTCCCCTGAAGTACTCTAATAACCCCTCAGAAGGTCCTCCCTTGCCCTGGCCCATTGGAGGTATCGGAAATCTGCAAGTGACTCTCAAAGGAGGAATGTCATAAGGGACAAGGGCAGGTTAGACTGGGCCACTGAGAGAGGAAGAAACCGCCTGCTCATTGCTGAGCTGCTGTGATCAGGGCAGCAGAGTCGGAGGTCCAGGTGGACCAAGTCTGAATATGACCCAACCACGGAGCACCACTGCAGAGGCAAGACTTTTCCAGGGAGACAGGCGCAGCATCATATTCAGAGCGGAGGTGTTGTCCTCCTCTCACCAGAGGAATTCTGTGCCCAGGGCTACTACCCGACCTCACTGCTGGTGAGGACCACAGGTAGCCTGGGTGGCGAGCGGAACACCTTGGGCAGTTGTAGGGGCAGAGCAAGGATGTGGCAAGATTGACACCCTTGAAGTCACCAGAAAGCCTATCCTCCCTGAACTTCTGGCAGAGGTGGCTGTTAATATTATTGTGTCTTATTATTAATCATACTATCATTTAATGAGCACCTACTGTGTGCCGGGTATTGCACTTAGTTCTTTACATGGATTATTTCACATAATCATAGTAAGAACCCTAAGAAGGACATTACTACTCTTATCATCCCCACTTTACAGGTAATAAAACTGAGGCTCAAAGAGGTTAAATCAGTTGTTCCAGGTGCGCAGCTTGGGTACATAGCTCCTAAGTGATGAGGCAAGCCCAGTGCCACCTACACTATCTCTGGTTCTTTGCCTCCAGCCCTGACTCCTGTCTCCAGCCCTCTTCCCTCCTCTGCCGTTGGCAAGTGGGGAGAAAAGGAAGAAAGAGAGGCCCTCAGGTGTGTGTTTCAGTTCCCCTTTCCCTCTGCCGGTGCCCCCTGACCTCACGCCCATTTCTTATTGCAGGAAGGTGAACAAGTGCTACCGGGGCCGCTCCTGCCCCATCATTGTGCACTGCAGGTGCGTTCAGGGGGGCTGGGGTGGGGATGGAGGGGGATGGGACAGCCCAGGCCAGAGGGCCCTGAGGTGAGGCATTCCT